AATCTCCTTCCTTAGAAGTTTTTAAGGTCAGGCTTGACAAAGCCCTGGCTGGGATGATTTAATTGGGGATTGGTCCTCCTTTGAGCAGGGCGTTGGACTAGATGACCTCCTGAGGTCCCTTCCAACCCTGATATTCTATGATTCTATGAAAACTATTAATCATTCAACAGCTGGACCAATACTCATCTAATATGGGTTTAGTAGATCCTGATCCTCCTCAGAATCCCCATGGAGGAAGAAGAAATAACCCAATTTCAGAATTTTCAAGAAACATTGGCTCATTGACCAAGATTCAAAGGCAAATGCTAGGACTGGGAACCAGTCTATAAGTGATCCCTCGGGAAACTAAAACCATTGCAGGCTCTCTGAAGAAGGGAAATAAACTGTACTTCAAAAGGGTGCTGTAAGAATCACTCTTTCTTAGTACTTTTCATCCCCCGAAGAAAAGATGCCGAACAAGTGCACAGTGCTCATCTTCACCTAGCTCTTGGTCAGTTGTCAACATGTGTTATCCAAGGTTTTAAACCCCAAGTGCACCTAGTGAAAAATACAAAGAGGGGGGGAGGAAGTGGAGAGAAGACATACAGCAATAAATACTTGTGAACCACAGAAAACAGTTGGGTTTTACTGCCCCCAAAGAACCTTTCTTCTCTGTATCATAAAAAATCTGGAAGGAAGAGTAGCCTAGTAGTTAAGACACATGACAGGGATTCAGTAGCTCTGCCAAAGGCTTCCTGTATGACCTTGCACAAGGCACTTGCGGAATTTCTCTCAGAGAGAGAGTAATTCCGCATCTGTAATTTAGGAATAATATTTCCCTATATCATGAGGATAAATTCATTAATGTTTGCAAATTGCTTTCTGAAGCTTGAATAAAAATCACTTTATAACGTGCCAAGTATCATTACTATGGCACACTGTTCTGCCACTCACACATTAAAAATCATGTATTTTATTGAAAGACCAGATTCAAATGAATTTAAGGTAGCCAGAATGTAAGATATATAAAAGGCAGAAGAAGGTACTAAGTAAAGATAATGACAATGTGTCTATATAGTTTACTCCTGGGGGAATTCTGCATCAAAAAATAAATTCTATGCCAAAAAATTAAAAATTCTGAGTACAATATTTTAAAATTCTGCAAATGTTATTAGTCAATAAATAAATATGGAGGCTCCAGCATAGCAGTGGGGAGCACAGGCCACTGGCTGAATGGAGGTGGAAAATCACCAGATCCTGACACAGCACAAGGGATGGTCCTGCCCCAGAAATGCCCAGGGGGCCCTGCCCCTCCATGCCAGGTGCACCAATTGTGGGCAGCCCGGCAGGATCCAAGTGTTGAGGGGCTTGGTGTGAGGGGATACAGGTGTGGGGTGAGAGGGTTCTGTGTGGGGCAATCTGAGTGCGGGCAGCTCAGTGTGAAGGGTTGGGGGGGTTCTGGATGCACAGGGACTCATTGGCGGTTCCAGGTGCAGGGTCAATTGGAGTCTGCATGGGGATCCAGGTGATGGTATTTGGGGCTCAACATGGGAGGGCTGGGTGTGAGGAGATGAGGCTCGGCCTGTATTCACCTATCAGCTGGCATTAAATTAAGCATTGTAAGCCAACATAACTGTCATCTACATACGAAATCAACAGGGGGATGTGAAATCGGCAGGAAAAAAGCAGGGACTCATAAAAAACTACCCACTGTCCAAGAGGTGGACAATGAACGTTGGGGATATAAGCAGAAGGCAAGGAGATACCCCTTTACTCTGCACCTAGGAAGTAATTGGGCAGTGTGATTATATTCATGAAAATGGGATCTCTACCAGGCTCATCTGAAACACTGCAGAGGACATTAGGGTGAGATAAACATCTTAGTTTAGACAGAAGAATAGCCTATCAAGTTTAGGCTCTAGAAAATGTACTGTACGATGATTTTGTTTTATATGTAACTCTTTAGTTTCCATTATCCTTACTCACAACATCTTGAATCTTTGATAATACTTTATTGTTGTTATTTTCCACTATAAATACATCTCAGTTCTATGGTATTGTACAAGGAGATGATCGTGAGTTGAATCATTTAAGCTCGTGTATACATTGTTCCTCAGAGGGCAACAGACCCAGTATTTCTGAGACTGTTCAAAGGAGAGGAGGCTGGACACTACTGGGAATGCTTCAAAGTAAGGGTTGGCATAGCTCAGAAGAGAGTGCTTGTGTGGCTAACAAGCTGGTGGTGTCAGGGAGCTGACACCCAGTTAAGCACAAACAAGTGTCCCTCTCAGTGGAGGCAGGGGGTAACAAGGTGACTCTCAGTCCTGGGTACCCAAAGAACCGTCAAAGAAGTTCCAGCTTATTTCCAAGTAGCATCTTCAGGAGCTTTGGGAGATAACACACATCACCCTCACCCTGGGAATGTCTTTGGCTGTGGACTCTGGGGATTATGGAGATTTTATATATATATAAATAAAGTCACAACCTGACCACTGAGGACACTGGACCACTCCCACTAGATCAGCTGGATGCTAAACATTTAAGATTTAAGGTTTGGAATTTTGGATATTCCCTCTCCATTGCATGTCATTTTTGGACCCACTGTGTTCTTCTTCCCTAACCATGTGTGATGTGGCAGATGGGCCCCACCCTGACAGCCAGAGGGTTAAGGAGAGCCTATGGATACAGTTGGCCCTGCCCTGCTACACCTGCACCAAAATGTCAGGTATGAAGAGGGGAGTTAAAAGGACCAGACCTAGCTCACTTCAGGGCTGACCAGCAGAGCCGCCCGGAGGGAGCAGGGGACAAAAACAGGCAGTTTTCCCTGGGCTCTCCATTTGAGAGGGCCCCCAAACCAAATGGCATTGTGACCTGGCACACTGGGTCGCAGCACCACTCAGGTTTGGCCTGTCCACCCCTCCATCAGGCCAAACCTGAGTGGCACTGCTACCCCACACACCAGGTCACAATGCCTGGAGCAGGAATCTGGGTCCAGCCCCACAAGACAGGGGTGAGTGCAGGGCGCACACACACTCACGCACACCCCGAGCCTCCCCTCAGAGGTAATTTTTGGAAGGGTGGGATTCAGTTTCAGATTTAGCCCCCAGGGTCCGCAAAAACCTCTGTACAGCCCTGCTGACCAGGAAGGAGAGTAGAGATCCACTTCTCCTGATGGGAAAGAAGCCTGGTTGTAACACAGAGACTGAGCTAGCTTACCAGGCAGATAAGCCCCTGCCAATAGGGACACCCAGATCCTTGTGGATCAACAGAAGCATGGACTGTTTTGAGACAAGTCCTAATTAGAAGGGCAGGGTCCTACTGAAGGTTCATCAGACAACCCTTTTTGAGTCGTGTTTTTAGTTTCTGATTTGCTTTGGACCTTAACAGCCTAGAAGAGGTAGGACTAAAGGACAGAGGGCCTCACAGAGACAGTGACAGGCCAGCGGAGACCCACAACTGGGTGAATCAAGTTGCAGTGGGGGAGGTTTAGATTGGATATTAGGAAAAACTTTTTCACTAAGAGGGTGGTGAAACACTGGAATGCGTTACCTAGGGAGGTGGTAGAATCTCCTTCCTTAGAGGTTTTTAAGGTCAGGCTTGACAAAGCCCTGGCGGGGATGATTTAATTGGGATTTGGTCCTGCTTCGAGCAGGGGGTGGGACTAGATGACCTTCTGGGGTCCCTTCCAACCCTGATATTCTATGATTCTATGAATCATGCCCTGACGGGCCACCGAGGAGTGCTACAAAGGCAACCCTGTTACTGATTTATTTGAAGCCGTCCTGAGATAATTTATGAATGCTGCATGTTGGCCTGGTTATTGGGATGTTTACTGTATGAATATATTGGTTTATTGCAATAGGAGGCTGCCTGGAAAAACAGGCAGGAAAGAAAAATATGGTTCAAGACAGCCACCTCTCCATTAACACTTTTGAGTTATTAAGGGACAATGCCAGAACTATTAGCTTTGATGATTTTGCCCCTGTCTCAAGCCCAACTTATAAAACTGGTTCTGAGCAGGGAAGGAAAAGGTGCATGAATGGCAAGGAACAACTGTAGCAGCATTTAAATAAGCACACACTCTCAAGAGAGGAACAGTAGTTTCATAGATTCAAAGATTCTAGTTGTTCAGGGGAACCAGTCTGAGGCAAAGCTGGGGTGTCTGGAGAACCTAGGCCTGCCTAGGTCACTATCACAGGAAGGCTGAGTTTCAGGTAAGAGATAGACATGCACGTAGGCAGTTGTTTTAAAATCCTTTTTTCTCTAATGCTTTATTCCAACTGATAAAATAGACTATGCTTTCGCTTAATAAGGTTGCCTCATCACTATGTACCACTGGTCACACACCTGAAGGTGCCCGAATTCAGTCGGACCTATGCGGTAACAACCGTGGATACACAAGGTACCGTAGCCCAAGCTCTGGTTGAGGAATGGGAGAACTGCAAAATTCTGTCCCAAGATATATAAATGTCTGAGGCTGGGCACCTGAAGGGATGCTTTCTGAGAGGGGGGCGGGGGAAAGATGCAGCTAGTCCTGCAACCATTACACCATCTTTTTGGCTTCTAAGTCAACTCTGGAAAGTATCGAACCTCACAATATCATTGCCACGACCAGCACAACAGTCTAAGACAGTTTAAGTAGCCCTGTCCCAACATGAAATACGGATGCTATCCCCAATCAGGAAAAAGAGACGGGGTCCAGAGATCAAAGTGCATGTCTGCTGACCTGACTGGTGATTTTCCATTGACTCAACTGCAAGCATGAGAGATCGCATCAGAGCAGGATTTTTATATCTTTGGCTATTGTGTGTGTGTGTGTGTGTGTGTGTCTTAAACCACTGTTGAGCCAAAACCAAACAACAAATTGACTGTTCTCCACAAGGAAGAAAGTTAGTATCAGCAAGAGACTTTTAAAACCCACCTTTTGCCCTCTGAAAGACTTTGCTGAACGGAAATGAAAACATTTCCAAAATGAAAAATCACTCATCTCTTGATTTCCATTCATTTTAATGGTGCTTTTTCTGTCTCTACACATGTGTGTTCAAGGAATACTTAAAAGGATGATTTTTGTAGTAAAATCAGGCCAGAGTCACAATGCCCCCCAAACCACAGAGAAATTGGTTTAATATTGTAACAGTAAAGTGCAGGTTCTAGTGGCCATCTGAACACCACTGAGCCCAATAACTCCTAGTTAAGGGCCTGGTCCAAACCCCACTGAAGTCAACACACGACGACAACCAATTTTGGAAGTTTTGCTTTAAAAACTCTTTCATACAGGGAATTACTCCTAATTGACCAAGAAACACTTTCCAAAAGTCTCTCTCCCCTATGGCCAGTTATGACATGTTAAATAAAGTATATAATGAAATATTTAAAAAAATGTATTGTTGTAAGGAATATTTTAGGAGGGCTCTAATGAGTGTTATACCATACGATACACTGCGCAAAATGGAGGAATGTACAATACCACAACTCCATACGGCAATTGGATCTTTTTTTCTTTTTTCTTATTCCAGTTCTTCCAGTACCATCTTTCATTCATCTTTGCCAGCATTTTAACTTTCACCTTATGCAAAAAGATTGCATTATAAAAATAGCAATAGCCTTATTACTCACTTCAGCTTGCAATAGTTAAATATACAGTAGGTAATCTTTTAAACTCAGCTTGATGCTTATGTAATGCAAGAGTTTAGCCACAGAAGATATACAGCATGGGCAGTGGCAATATGAGCTTCACCACAAATCCCCTTTGAGCAACATACAGGGACTACTTCTAGGTGAAAGAGAGAAGCTCAGTCTCTGTGTCAGTTCAAATTAAATAATGCTTGACTGGCATGGGAAGCTATGCAAGCGTTGCCCTAGTGACATCATTGAAACTGTCCATGAAGCTTTGTCAGTTAGTGCCAAGTCTGACAATGTGTTTTGGTGACAGTCACTTGACTGAGAACAAACTCATTTCAAGCAATGAGCAATTGGAATTTCTCAGCTGTTTGGTGGTTCAGAAGTGAAAGTTTTAAAAAGAACAGGCCTCCCCCAGGGAAAGATCAAGACCCTATGGCACCACAGTAGTGGACTGTGATGTCCGTTGCTGACAATATGGCACCTTTGAGAGCACTAAATTAAAATTAAAAAAAAAAAAATTAACAGTCACTGCCACAGCCCAGCCACAGGAAAGTTGAAATGCAGCCATAATATTTGTTATGATTTTACAGACTGGGCCCGTTTGGTGACCCAATGGTAATGCTGTGCACTAACCAGGAAACTTGGGTCAGTTCCCAGTTCTGGTCTTTTGCCCTCTAGGCTAGTCAGTACTAGAAGTGCTTCAGAGTCCGTGCTGCTAGAGGAGAGCTTCTAATTTAAGTGTTTGCAATGTAACGTGTTTCTCCAACTCTGTTCCCCTACCCTCCTTTCCATTTGCCCCAACTCATGCTTTTACGTCTACCTAGCATTCTTCTATACATTGATTTCTTTTACTTTTCAAGCAGCACTACCGCACAACATGCAAAGAGAGTGCCTAGGAACATTCATTATACTTAGTGTAATAAAAATATGGCCTTACTTTTTGAATCATCAGAGCTAATTTTTCCTTCCTGTTGTTGCTCCTTGTCTTCTTCATTAAAATAAGTAGCAGTGGGATATAGTTCTGGCACATTTCTTCTCCTCTTCTCTACCAGAAAGCTAAATGAAATGATTTCCTGATTTAATTGTTGTAGCACTGTTAGTTTAACAGCACACTTCAGACTATGCGCAGGGAGAGAAAGGAGCATTATCTCTTACTTAGGGCATGGGATTTTGAACCAGGAATGCTGACATTCTAATTCTGCCTCAGAAACAACTCCCTCTGGGGTCCTGAGCAAGTCATTGTTTCCGGGTCTGTGGAGGAGGGAGTGTGATTATACTAACTGCTCTACTTCACAGGGATGGAAGGAGGATTAGCAATTCATATTTATAGAGTGCTTTGAAGATGAACAGTGCAAAGTATTACCACCACCCTGTGTCAGTGTGGTACTGCACAAGGTGAGACTCCTCTTTTTCTGCAACACAATGCCCAGGCCTTGAGACAATGCCCCAATTCACCTCCCTGCCTTGAGTCTGGCTTAACTGGTAATACAAAACCAGAAACATAACATACATCTCCCTGAGCATGGCTGTCCCTAAGGTTTCAATCTCCCCAGTCCTAGCCCCCTAGATTCCTCCCTCCAGAAAAGACTCCACCTACCTTTATTCCAGGTGGAGTTAATGAACTACATCGGCCACAAGTATTTATCAGCACGACTTCAGCATCTTTAGGCAGGTTTCTAACCCCAACTAAGAGGCTGGGCAAAATAATAGCCCTGCCACAAGGATGTTCTGACTACATGGAGAGCACACTCATAATATGGGTATCACGGGAGGTACGTAAAGATGTATGTTTAGTTTTTGTACAAGTGTTTGTAATGGATAAAGATTCCCTCTAGTAATTATGGTTCTGGATGAAGGCAAAGAGGCGTTGGTTAGAGCAGCGGTTTTCAAACTTTTCTTCTGACCCAGTTGAAGAAAATTGTTGATGCCTGTGACCCAACAGAGCTGGGGATGAGGGGTTTGGAGTGTGGGAGGGGCTCAGGGCTGGGGCAGAGGGTTGGCGTGCAGGGGTGAGAGCTGTGGGGTGGGGCTGGGGATGAGGAGTTTGGGGTGCAGGAGGGGGCTCTGGGTTGGGGGGGAGGGGCTCAGGGCTGGAGCAGGAGGTTGGGGCACAGACTTATCTCAGGCAGCTCCCAGTCAGCGGCGCAGTGGGGGTGCTAAGGCAGGCTTCCTGCCTGTTCTGGTGCCCTGGAAGCAGCCAGCAGCAAGTCCAGCTCCTAGGCGGACACGCACAAGTGCTCTGTGTGGCTCTCACCTGCAGTTACCCCCGTCCCCTAGCTCCCATTGGCTGAGAACCAGCCAATGGGAGTGTGGAGCCAGTGCTCGGGGTGGGGGCAGCACGTGGATCCCCATGGCCCCCCCCCCACACACACACACACACACCCCTAGGATCTGGACCTGATGCTGGCCACTTCCAGGGCGCAGTGCAGTGTCAGAACAGGTAGGGACTAGCCTGCCTTAGCCGGGCAGCACCGCCTACGGGACTGAGCCGCTGCGACCCAGTGCCTTACATTCCGCGACCCAGTACTGGGTCACGGCCCACAGTCTGAAAACCACTGGGTTAAAAACTCTGTGTTGCTTTAATTCCCTGCTTTTCCTCCTGAAGAGCCTTTCTGGTTGGGAAAGTTTTCGCAGGTGGAAAAGAAAAAGGAACCTTAGGGCACGTCTACACTAGCAGAGTGACAGAGCCGGCAGTTACAGCGCTGCTCAGAGACCGCAGAAGGGAAACCGCTGTTGTGGTTCACTGACAGTTGCCTGCGCAATAGCGTGTTCACACTTGCGGCACTTGCAGCGTATTCGGAGCGGCGCACTCTGGGCAGCTATCCCACAGAGCACCTCTTTCTTTTTTGCCGCTAAGACTTGTGGGAAAGCGGAGGAGGTCGTGGGGCATCCTGGGTCCAGTCCCAATGCCCTGTGATGCATTGCTTCGCATCCCATCAATCCCTGTGCTTCTGTCCGCATTTGGCGCCATCTTTCAACGGTTTGTGTACTGCGCACCCTGCAGGAATGGATCCTGCACTGCTGACCCGTATGCTGCTCACTCTGACCAACACGTCACGAGTGGCAGTGGAGTTATTCCTTAAACTACAAAGGCAAGAGGAGTGTGACATTGATCTCGCCACGCATAGTAGCTATGGCACAAGATTGCTTGTGGCATTCACTGAGGTGCTGACCAGAGTGGAATGCTGCTTTTGGGCTCGGGAAACAAGCAGAGTGATGGGATCACATAGTGATGCACATCTAGGATGACGAGCAGTGGCTGAAGAACTTTTGCATGAGGAAAGCCACATTCATGGGACTGTGTGATGAGCTCTCCCCAGCCCTGCAGCGCAAGGACACGACAACGAGAGCTGCCCTGTCGTTGGAGAAGCACGTGGCGATTGCACTGTGGAAGCTGGCTACTCCAGACTGCTACCAATCGGTCGCTAACCAGTTCAGAGTGGGAAAGTCGATCATTGGAGTCGTGTTGATGGAAGTGTGCAGAGCCATTAATCGCATCCTGCTCCGAAAGACCATGACTCTGGGCAACGTGTGTGACGTTGTGGATAGCTTTGCACAAATGGGCTTCCCTAACTGCAGAGGAGCGATAGATGGCACGCACAGTCCAATTCTGGCACTGGACCACCTAGCCACCGAGTACATTAATCACAAGGGGTATTTCTCAATGGTTCTCCAGGAGCTTATTAGCTGAATAACCTAGCAGTTTGTATATACCAGTGGTACTCAAAGCCGGTCCACAGCTTGTTCAAGGGAAAGCCCCTGGAGGGCCAGACCAGTTTGTTTACTTGCCGCATCCACAGGTTCGACCGATCACGGCTCCCATTGGCCACGGTTTGCTGGTCCAGGCCAATGGGGGCTGCGGGAAGGGCAGCCAGCACGTCCCGCGGCCCGCACCGCTTCCCGTGGCCCCCATTGGCCTGGAGCGGCGAACCGCGACCAGCCGAACCTAGTTCGGCCTTTCTGATTAAGGATCCCTACACGTGACCATAGTAAGGTCTAAAGCATGAGGAACAACACAGAAACCTTCAGGCAGGATCTTGGTCCAGTGTCCTTCTAGTATAAGATCCCTCGGGGACATTACATCAGTGGGGAATCAACCACAGTGGAGCCTTGCTCCACCATACCTCCTCTCTTCCCCACTGCCTTCCCACTCCCTGTCCCCAAGATACCCTTCTCAACCTCCCATGCCAGGTGGTGCTGCTCTGGTGTAGGAAGCGAGGAAGTCATCTCCACTAGCTTTACACTAGTGGAGACTTCCCCTACCCAGCAGGAATTCTGGATCATGCTCCACCTGTTTAAAAAATCAAGTGAATGTGACAGACCAGCAAATCCAGCCATCTGTGTTACTATTCCCAGTGAAGAACTTGTATGGAAGAGGGGAATATTGACAAAAAAGAAAGCTCTTTGCCATCCACCCACTGAACATGGCAGAGAGTATTTTCCTCAGTATATTCACAGAAAAATCCTCTTTTAGAACTTATCAGAGAAGCTACCTGAGAGGTTGGCATTTTTTGAATGAATGGGGGAGAATACTATATAAGGCTCTCAACTGGTTGATGTTCATTCTTCTTAAAAATGTGATCAGTCCCTTTAGGTTAGAATTCATGACAATGCTCCGCTTCTCTTAACAGTGAGAAGGCTGTAGATGCCACTGCAAAAGAAGACAATGGGGCAAGAGGAGGGGCCCTTCCTGCAAAAGCATTCCCCAGAATAAATGGAATTACCAAAAGTGTTTCATTATTTTAGATCATTCCATTGTATTTATGTTTCTTCTCTTTTGATACTTGAGTCCTTAATTGTCTAATTTTCTACCCTTCCAACTTGAGGCACCGAGTGATAATGATATGTTTTGCCTTAATGGATCAAATGAACCTTAGGTACCAAATCATATCATTTCCTACACACTAGCTGCATCAAAAATAATTCTAAAAACATCAGGGAGTTGTTTGATTCTTTTTTCTTTACCCTTCTCTGTTCCTAGATTATAATTAATGAAGCTGCAGGCAATCTGTCAGAAAACCAAGGTTAAGTGAGTTGGCCGATAGAGCCACTAACAATTCAAGGCCGATTTGCTTGCGTGAGCCAAATAACGCAAGTGACATCTTGATAAGTGATCGGGTTTAACAAAATATTCTAGATGCTTACAAAGCTTTTGATGAGGTGACAGCTTTGTTGAAAAGTCTCTTAATGCCCTTTCTAAACAGAAGAAATTGGTTATTTATTACAGACCCTATGTGTACTATATTTCTAGGTTTTATATCGAGTAAACAAGTTTAAAAGTATTGAAGTTTGATGTTACACTTACCTAACAGGTACAGGGCTCTCTAAATTTAAATTCACACTTCTTGGAGCACAGCCTTCTCCTTCTCCACAGCTTTCTATCTAGGTACTCATATGGCCCACATCACCATAACATCTTAGTCCCTCACAAACATTAGAGGGACATAAATGTCTCCTCACTCCTGTTAGGTAAGGTACAAATGGAGAACTTCACATGGAGACGTAAAGTTACTTGTCACACCACAAGACAATGGCAGCACTGTGCACAAAACCCTGATCCTCTAAGTCCCGGTCCAGTGTTTTTACCATCCTTTCCCACCCTAAAATGTCAGCCAGCAATAGGCCACTAAACATGTGGATTTAAAAAAAAAAAAAGAGGGATTTAACCCAGACTTCCTTAATGCCACAAGTCTTCTAGATATGATTAAGTATCTATCATTTCTCTCAATCCTTCCTTAAGTGGTATGGAGTTGTAATCAACCTCTGTCACCCTTTCTTCAGGACTGAGAGGAGTTAGTCTCAATGAATCACCATCAAGCTTACATCGCAGATTAAGGTGTTCAAAATAGTTTTTTCATGGCTCATACTATAGATAACTCTCTGAAACACAGAAGTGTTCACTGAACATTCCCTGGGCGACTAACAGACTTGCCTGTAAATCAAATGACTCAGCATCTGGCAAAATTCCCATGTATTTTGAATCAAGTCATGGGGCATTTTCATTTTATATTGTCTGAGTGAAACAATTAAATTGATTTTATAATATCAAAGTACTCACCTGTGGAATACAAATAAAATGAAGGATCCCATGATGAGTAGTATCAAGATGATGAACACTTGCATGTATGCTGAAAAATAATTGCATTTTAGTGTCATCTAAAGCTCTCACAGATTTTTTCTTCTTCTTCTTTAAATACTACTTGGGACAGCCTGCAGATTAAATACAGGAACAGTATGGAGAGTGCTGTACTAGCTGCATGCACTAATCTTTGAAAAGGCAGCAGCTTTTCACAGCCAGTATATGCTCTCCTTTGTAAGGTCTAAGACACTCAGCTGGTCTCAGAAGCTATTGTTTGGAGTCTGGATTTTTCTGCCGAATATTGATGCCATTAAACTAAGAATCCTGTTTAGTTTACTTTTTTAAGGGATTAGTCTTCACCTCTCTCCTTTGATTTGCAAATAAGACATGTAACAACTTCAAAATGCAACCAGTTTCTAAAGGAATTCCCCTTCATGCCTTTTCTCAGACATGTAGACATACAGTAGCCATTGATGGCAATGTGTTTGAATTCCCAAGGTATCACAATAAATGTATATACACTCACCCATAACCAATTTTTAATGAAATAGTTTATTCTGAACAGAAATCTGTTGGAAGTTAAAATTATTGTACAATTAGATATTCAAGGGAAAAGTTTCAATTTTGATGAATCAGCATTTTCCAACAAAAAATTGTTTTGTTGAAAATGTTCCAGTCAGCTCCAATAAGAAGGGGATGTGCCAGTTCAGCACATTCTCAGGAGGCCTACATTAGCAAGGCTTCTACTGAGTCCTGAACTCTGCCGCCCGCACCTCTAGGAAAAAATCCACAAGGTTATAGTGGCCCAGCTGCTACAGAGGAGCATAGATCCCTAGGTCACTGAAAATGAACAGGGAGAAGTAGAAAAGCTATTTTGCACAAAGTGCAGACCAAATTATCAGGATGAAGCACTGGAGCAAACACACATGGGCTTGTTTCACAAAGAGGAAGGGAAGGAGGAAGATAAAAGCATGTAAAAAACGAACAGTATGTAGGGGCAGAGAGCCTTCTAGTGCAAAGAACCTAGAAATGGAAAATTAGGTCAGCTAGTCCACCCCCCGCAGTTAATACAGGACCATCTCCAGCTCTATGCTTACTAACCTTTTGTCCAGTCTAGATTAAAATCTACCTGGTAAAAGTGATTCCACCACTCCCGTTATTTCACAGGCTAAATGATGTCACTATCAAGAAGTTTTTCTCAATTTGGATCCCAAGTGTCCCTTTTCTTAGTTACATTCCATTTCATTCCCCCTGTTTATCACACATACTCCCTCTCCATTTTATTATTGGAAAAAAAAAAAAATCCTCTCCCTTCTTGGTGTTAAACTTTTCTGTAGTATTTTCAGATTCCTCTCACACTTAGTTGTCACTTAGCCAAGCTATTCATATTTAGCTTGCTTAATCGTCCATGGTAAATCAATGCATCATCCCATTAAAAAGTTCATTATTGCCTCTGAATACCTTTGACCATTTTCCATCATTGTTTGCAGTGCTATTGTAGCCATGTTGGTCCCGGGATGTGAGGGAGACAAGGTGCATGAAGTAATATCTTTTATTGGAACTACTTTTGTTGGAAGATACAAGCTTTCAAGCTTCACAGAGCTCTTCTTTGGGCCAGTGTCACAGCTAAATATAAGGTGGGACAGATTGTTAAGCATAAAGGTGTTAACGTAAGTAGCAGAAGATCATGTAAAATGAAGTGGACGATTAACACCTTTGCAGGCATAGGACAAAGGAGGGTTAATAGGTTACAAATTCTTGAAATGAGCCATACAACCAGTTTCTCTGTTTAGTCCAGGATTTTTAGTAGCTAGCAGAGAGATGAATTTAAGTTCCATTCAGAGGTGTTGTGCGGGTTTCCTTTGAGGACGAGGACTGAGAGATCATATATAGTGATCACTTTGTGAAAAGTATTCGCTGTTGGGTAAAATAGGGCATTTTTGTCTTATTTTTCTGTGTGACTGCATTAGAGAGTGTAGTGATTGTCTGCTTTCAGACACATAGTTGTGGAAATTGATGTGCTGGATAAGGTACACCCTATGTTTTACAGGTATATGTAGGACCATGGATCTGGAAAGGTGTATTCTGGGGTTATTGATCATTGTAGCAGTGGAGATATGTCTACAGGTTTTGCATCTATTGTTCTTGTAGAGAACACTTTGAGTTGGTGTGTCCTGGTCTGTGGCAAGCTTGTGTCTGATGAGCTTTGAGAGGCTGGGAAGATTGTCTGAAGGCCAGAAGAGGGGGTTCAGGAAAAATTTCTTTCAGGATAGCATCCCCATCAAGTATGGGTTGAGGTTGTTTGATGATACCCTGTATGGGTTCCAATGTGGAGTGGTAGGTGACAACTAGGGGTGTGTGGTCAGAGGGAGATTTATTTCTGTATTGAAGCAAGTTCTCTCAGGGTATGTTGGTGATCTGGTCCATGATGCAGCACACCACATGGTGTGTAGGACCTATGGATCTTGAAAGGTGTGTTATGAGGGGCGTTGCTATTTGTAGCACTGGAGAGATGTTTGCAGGTTTTGCATCTGTTGTTCTGGCAGGGTCTGGTGCTGCTTTGAGTTTCTGTCCTGACCTATGGGGAGCTTGTTTCTGGTGATGAAATTGGCATGGATGGGGGGGGGGGGTTGAAGACCAGAAGAGAGGGTTCAATAAAGAGGTCTTTCCAGATGGGGCACTAATCAATGGGTTATAATTGTTTGATGATCCCCCGTATGCATTCCAGTGTGAAGTGGTAGGTGACAATTAGGGTGTGCAGTTGTAGGTGGGTTTTTTAAATATATTAAAGCAGGTTCTCTTGAGGTATGTTGGTGGCCCATTTCATGATGAGATCTCCTGCTGTGGTAAAGTGTGAGAAGATGAGATACTGCTGTGAGAAGATGAGATACTGGACTAGAAGGATCACTGGTCTGCCCCAGTATGGCTATTCTTATGTTTTAAGCTGTGTATTCCGCACTTTCACCTGTAGCATATTCTGTGGTATCTAAGTGCCTGGTTGTGGATAACAGATTTCTTGGTGTGTCTGAGGTAGTTACTGGATCTGTGGAGGTAGGTGTGGTGATCTGTGGGTTTCTTGTATATAGTTGTCTGAAAGGTTTCATCGTGAAGTTGATCTTGGTGTCAGGAAGTTGATGCTGGTGAGGGAGTGTTCCAGAGAGAGTCTGATAGATGGGTGGTGGTGGTTGAAGTTGCAATGGAAATCTTTGAGGGAATTTAGGTCTTCTGTCCAGAGGATGAAAAAACCATCTGCGTATCTTAGGTATATCATTGGTCCAGAAATTCTTCTTCAAGGTGGTCTGTGAAGAGGTTGGCATATCAGGGAGCCATCCTAGTACCCATGGCTGTTTCCAGGGTTTGGACAAAGTGTGTGTTGTTAAATGTAAAGTTGTTATGGCTGAGGATGAAATGGTTGAATTTGATGATGTGTTTGGGGTGGATGTCTGAGTGGGGTACATTGTCTTGTAGATATTTTTGGTGAGGGACACTGAAATACAGGAAGGTGACATCCATGGTGGCAAGGCTAGTGTTCTGAAGGAGGTTGTGCTAGACATTAAACATACTACACTCAGAGACACTGATTTTATGGCTCATTACAACAATTTGTAACCTACTCCTCCTTTCTCCTATGACTGCAGAGCTGTTAATTGCCCACTTCATTTTATGTGATCTCAAGCAACATATGTTAACCTCTAATGCTTAACAATCTGTCCCACCTTGTATTTAGCTGTGATACTCTGATTAATATTTTCCAGACCTGAAGAAGAGCTTTGTGAAGCTGGTCTCTTCCACCAGCAGAAGCTGGTCCAATAAAAGATATTACCTCACCCCCCTTATCTCTCTCATACCTTTGACCATGTCTTTCTGATAACAAGGTCCTCATAACACAACATTCCAGGTCTCAGAGTCACGTAGAAACAGACTGTATTACAGGAGTACAACCACCATAGAGGCAGAGGCTATTTTCAGCCCACTATCTCACACCTTTATGTCTTCTGGCATTAGTCATTTCAAGATTTTTCCCTCCCATTGAGTATGTGCTTCAAATTTTTTTCCTTACATTTTTGCAATCCTATTTTATGATTTTTCTGTCCGTGTTATTTTCTACCTATCTTGTCCATAACACTTCTCTCATTCCTAACATGCCATTTTCTAGTGCTGTGGTTTTAAGTAGAGGAAGCTGAAACCAGAGCTGAATTCTCAGAAATGCAAATAAATCTAAAAAATTCAGTGTACTAATTGCAGAATATAAGCCTAAACATAATGCTGAATGGGATGAAACAGCTATGGCCACAATCCTTAGTTCTTCTCCAAATTAGCAGATTTCTCAAAGATTAATAACAGGCATAATTTAGTATCTAGGATCTGACATGCGGGGATTTCTTATGTAATCTGGGATTGCAGTGTCTCCCTCAAAAATCATATATTGTGTCACACCTACAGTTAGGGAAAGCTGGCACACCACTACCTGTCAGCATAGATCCGTGGAGATCATTTTGTTGATAAATGGTATAGTCAATTGCTTGACCACACTTTGGTTCATTATACTCAAGAGACAAAATAACCAACGTCCATTAAATTTATTGCTATAAACCAGTAATAATGTAGTACAGGAAAAAGATTTATACCACACCAGTTTCCAGAAAGTCATCTTATACAGTGAAATTAATTCACCTTACACAGAAGGTGTATTCCCAAAGTTACACATTTCAGCTGGTATTTTTTATCTGATGATTTGACAAGTTATACATCTCTTTACACAGCTCTAAAATCCAACCTGTTTGTCACAGTTCCCTAACTTCTTGTTCTGTTCCTTCCCTACCTTGTACTAAGACATAGAACAAATGTATCTTGATTTTGACAAGTTTCCAATCTGCTTATGCCAAAGCTTACTTCAGCGAATGCAAGGCATTATAGGATACTTAGCACAAGAGACTAGGATTATAGTAAAGATATAGGACAATTTAGGCTATATAACTGCTATGTTATTTGTGCTTAATGCATACTATTGTATATATGGTACAGATAATGCATATTATTTTAGTACATATTGTGATAAAGTCCCAAGCCTGTATTGGTGGGTCCCGCGCTTTTGGGCGGTTTCAGTTGCCTCAGAAACTTGATAAGGCCCCAACCTGACCTCCCTTTCTCAGTGTAGCAGCAAGAGTCACAGCCTATTGAGTTACTTTCATCACCGGCCAGTATGGGAGACGGGAAGGGGGAATACCCTCCTTAGAGCTCAGTAGGCACAGTTCGGCTTCCTGCCTGGACCGAGTCCTGCTTCCCTTCTCCAGGGGATCTCTGTAGAGTATGGGGAGCAGGAGGGAACTCGGGCATGGCCTCTGCTCCGGGTTCCAGCCCAGGGACCCTAATGGTAGCAGCTGTTGGTGCCTTTCCCTTCACCACTGACGCTCCTTTGATTCCTAGGCCACTTCCCCCGTGGTCCCCTTTTCCTAGCTTCACCCTTACCTCAGGATTCAGCAATGCTTCTTCTCCTCCAGCTCCTTTCACTTCAGCCTCTTGGAAGGCACTAGAAGGAGAGCTTTTAAACAATGTAAGTGGGACCTTGATTGGTTCCACCTGTGTCCATTAGCCTAACGCCCTTAACTGATTAATTGGCATCAGGTGTCTTAATAGGCCTGCAGTAGCCTTTGTTTGCTTATCCAGGGAACAAGAGCCTGCTCATTCTGAAGGCTGATATACCTGCCTTCCAGCACTCTCTTATATTCTTCTGGTCTGAGTCTGTCACAATATATTATAGTCAAGGGGACACCTTTGCCAAATTAATATATGAAACAGTGGTAAAGGCCTTTATATGTGATTTCAAGTGTTTTACCAAACTGCATGAGCAACCATACATAATTAGCACAGCTAAAATTAATACACCTTGTAATACATGCAAAGCTTTAAATGCAACTTTTATTCAATGTGGGAAACCAGTATTTGAAGATCCCCATCATAGATAAGGTCATTCAAGGCTTGTTTTGCCTTGTGCATGTCATTGCCAATTCGAGTAATGTGCATGTATTTGTGATCTAGTAATATTTTTAAATTTAAAATAGGTGGATTAATATGCACATTAAAACAGGTAGGTAAGTTTCAACTACACGCTGATATTAACCAAGTCAACGGAAAGACTCTTGTTCATATCAGTGGGCCTTGGACAGGCTCATAACTTGCTCCCAAATCCTGCCGCCTGAGGAATGAGAGATTTGAGGAAAGTACACAAAAGTAGAGTTAAGGTCACTTTAAAATTACAAACAAGGTCTTGGATCTGGAGTATATCATATTGCTATTCTAAATACTTACATGGCACTGCTTTCCTGTAGCAAATTTGTTTATGGAAGCAACATCCTAATCCTGAACACTGGACTCTTGACACATTTTCGGAACATATTTCATAAAGAGGAAGCTCACAAACTACAAAAAAACAAAACGCTAAAAATAAAGCAACAGACTTAACATTAACTTTTAATGTAATTCCATTAAAAGTAGCATTTTTTCATTACACCATTAAAAGTGAAAATTTAGCTAAGATATAGAATAAATTAAAATTTATGAGCAAACAAAATAAGACAATATTCTTCAGTGGAGGGCTTCTGCCAGTGCCAGCCTGAGTACTCTGTACACTGAAGCAGAAGACAGGCACTGAATACAACAGAAATTTTGGAATTCAGTTTGTAATGTATAATTATTTCAAATTTAAACGTTCTCCAAGTTTAAATTATCCATATCATGGGATTTTCTTTTTTAAGATTTTAAGTGCATGTAATGAGAGAGAAATTTTTACTCCAACTTTGACAGAAAAGATAGATAATGAATATGTGATGTACTACAGGAGAAGATTAATAAGAAAGAAAGAAAGAAAGAAAGAAAGAACCGAGACATTTCCTGGTAAATGACATTTTCAATACATTCAACATTTGCAGTAAGAAGGTGTTGGTATTATAAAGTGGAAATGGGAAGTCAAAATCATTTTGACAAGGTAATAAAAATTCTGAAATAAAATTCAGACACATATACAGACACATCAAATGGACTACATGGGAAATACTTCATAATAGGATGGAAAAGAGCAAGCGGAATGCACCATAGGCACTTCCCAGCTGCAAAACAAGCACTAAAAAAAACACATAAATTAAAACAAAGCAACATGCATCTCAATAGCAGTTTTATAATAAAACATAATTGGAAGCATCCATAGCCCAGAATCATGGATTTGCTCACATCTATCTGTTCATAATCATGGTGCATGATGGGAATTCGAAGTCCCGTTTTCAAATACCATTGTTGTTCCAGTCTTCCTCAAAAATATTTTTAAAATGATCCCATTTTAAAATGACCTTATGAAAGATATTTGTATGGTTGGTCATTAAATCAGTGTTGCTTCACACACACTGCAAATCGCACAAGAATTTAACATTAGCACATGGGCACTGCAAGGGTCCTGGAGAATCATGACGAAACAGAAATAAAGCACAATTTTTAAATAAAAAGAAAAGGAGTACTTGTGGCACCTTAGAGACTAACCAATTTATTTGAGCATAAGCTTTCGTGAGCTACAGCTCACTTCACGAAAGCTTATGCTCAAATAAATTGGTTAGTCTCTAAGGTGCCACAAGTCCTCCTTTTCTTTTTGCGAATACAGACTAACACGGCTGTTACTCTGAAACCTGTCAATTTTTAAATAGTGGGGTGATTAACTATTGGAACAATTTACCAAGGGAAGTGGTGGATCCTCCATCACTTGAAACATTTAAATCAAGACTGGATATCTTTCTAAGAGATATGCTCTAGCTCAGCCAGAAGATATGGGCTAATTTTATTGCCTTTGAAAGACTGAATCCTGCTTAATTAAGCCTTGCTTTTACCTCTGAAACAGGCAACAGTAGCTGTGCAACTCCCTATAGCACCCTCCAACATGCCTAGAACCCTGGCTTCGGTGGATGAGAGGGTAATTTAGTTCATCTACCCATCCATTCAGTCTTTTCCCTTCCAACAAGAACCCCAATTATTGCTTCCCCTCTAAAATGTCTAGGTATTGTAATGACCCTTATCACCACAGTATCTTGATGTATCCATTCGAGATGATAGTTTTCAACGGAATATTGAAGCAGTTGCCATGTATGGCTTTTCAGTGACAATTGCTGGCACTAGGCTACCTAGGTTGCAGAGAGCCTGTCGAATTTCAGCAGACTTGGTCCTGAGTATCTGAGCACTACGGAGCTCTTCCATAGGCTAAAATCAAAAATTTTGAGGCAATCTGGCTAAACACTTCAAAGTGAGCTGTACTAACAGCCCAGATTATCTATCAGAGGAAAAGACTCAATAAGGAATCATAGTATATTTACCACAATATTTTGGGTTTTCTGTAATGTTCAGACCATTTTGTTGAACTCTATTTTCCAGCTGATTTACAAATATGCATAGCTTCCAAGGCCAGAAGGGACATTTGTGATCATCTATTCTAACTTCTTGTACAAACCAGGGCATAGCATTTCCCCAAAACGATTCCTAGAACATTTCTTTTAAAAAAACATCCAATCTTGATTTTAAAATTGCCAGTGAGGGAGAACCCACACAACACTTGGTAAGTTTTCCCAGAGTTAATTATTCTCACTCTTACAAATTTACACCTTATTTCCATTCTGAATTTGTCCAGCTTCAACTTCCAGCCATTGGATCATGTTATAACTTTCTCTGCCAGATTGAAGAGCTCCTTATCAAATATTTGTTCCCCATATAGGTATTTATCAACTGATCAAGTCACCCCTTAAAGTTCCCTTTGTTTGACTCAAGGAGCTCAATCTACCCAAAAAGTCACATTTACCTGCCTTGTTACATTTTAATGTGCTTGATTTCACCCAAGGCAGACTTATACTTAATAACCACCAGGGGGAGCTCCTCAACTATTTATAACATCTATGCAGCTGGCTAAAAGAGCCTGATTTACAATGTGCATAGGCAGATTTTAGGTGTGCTACACATTCCAAAATCAGAATATGCTTTACAACTTTCCAAATAATACACAGATTTGTTTTCTTTTTCTAAGTGATCATGATTTTTTTTAAAATGTAAAAGAATCAGCAATCAAAACAGACGAAGACCCCGATTTTTAAAAGTATGTAGGTCGGTGGTGGGCAACCTGCATGCGGCCCATCAAAGTAATCTGATTGCAGGCTGCGAGACATTTTGCTGACATTGACCGTCTGCAAATACGGCCCCCTGCAGCTCCAGTGGTCGCAGTTCACCGTTTCCGGCCAATGGGAGCTGAGGGAAGCGGCAGGTCGCAGGGATGTGCTGGCCACAGCTTCGCACAGCTCCCATTGGCCACGAACAGCAAACCGCGGCCACTGGGAGCTGCGGAGGACCGTGCCTGCGGACGGTCAACGTCAGCAAAATGTCTCGCAGTCCGCAAGCAGATTACCCTGATGGCCTGCATGCGGCCCGCAGGTTGCCCACCACTGATGTAGGTGTTGCTGTGCTAACATTACAATGTCTAACTGATTTAGGAGCCTACATCTCATTTTAAGAAGAAATTTATGCACTCAGGAGCCTAAATCCCATTAGACTCTTACATGCCTAAATCCCTTTTGAAAATGAGATTTAAGCCCCTAAATCAGTTAGGCCTTGAGACACTGAGTGCAGAGGCCGAAATACCTTTAAAACTCTGGGTCTAAGCGATTTCTTTAGGAGAATGTTTTACATGAGGGGGGTTGGCCTTTTGCCAGATTCTAGAGGGAGATGGGGAAGTGTCTGGAGTTCACAGTTTTCAAATGGCTTCATAAGGGGTGACATTACATAGCCCGCCTATGGCTCAGTTCTGCCACTTATCCATGAAGTTATATCTAACCTGTGAAAATATTTCCCACATCATACTCACAATATATATACAAAACCACGTTCACAGCAGATTTATCTGCAGGAGTCTACTGTATTGTGTTCCCCAGGGATCCACCTTAAAGTGCCAAATGAAGTTTCCTCACTTTACCACAATCACTCTAGGCAGTGGCCCCTAGGAAAAAGGTGAAGTTCCAGCTTGGTCTGGGGAAATTGAGCCTGGAACAAGGGCAGGGATAGGACTCACAGGCCAGGAGGAGACATGGGGAATGGAACACCCCTGGGGTGAGCATATGGGCTCAGTTGTGGGGAGATAATTACCCTCATCCCGCCCCAAGAGGGGGCAGGGTGCGCTTGCCCCAAGGGAGGGGCCAGGTTAAAAGAGTCTGGTCACTCTCAGATGGATGGGCTGGTGAGCGGGACCCTGGATTTGGGGCAAAAGGAACTGGGAACAAAGTGCTGCTATTGAGTCTTGGCTGGGGGACTTGGACACGATGTCCCAGGAAAGGGGACTGGAAAACTACGGTCTTTATGTGTTTACAGTGGGAGCTGGAGAATGGTTTTACTCCAGAGCTCTTGGGGAACATGTATATAATGGTTTTATATCAAACACTGAGAAACTATCATCCTTTTAAGGCCGAACCAAAGGGAACCAGAGGCTGGGTGCACTTTTTGTGCCATGGCCTGACGGTGGAAGGCGCCTGGGAGGGAATCACCCTAGGACAGCTCCCAAAACCCAAGAAAAAAAATGTTCATACGCATCTTAGGCACTTAGTTCTGGTTGTGCTTCCACCTTTGCAATCATTTCTTTTGCCAATACAGACCCCTCAGCTGCAGACATCTCCACTGCAGCATCTCCCTAGGGTCAGTCTTTCTCCGCTCCCATGCATTTCTATACAGCTGAGAGCTTGACTGCAGGCAGCAATGCCTGTAGTTAAGGTTGCTGGACATTTCCCATTATAAGATTCTGTTTTCAGTTGCTTGTAACTTTGTCAAACTTTAACCATGCAGGCTGAAATTTCCCATGCCGGGTGTCTGCAGAAGGCTGACTTTTTATTTATTTATGTTTTAAATCTGCAGCAAAAACAGTTCATCTGTTTCTAAGAACAAGGTTAGGAAAAAATAGAATGATTTTAAGACAGGCTTAAAACAATCTTACAACTTGTATAATGAGCAGGTCTAGCATCCCCATGCTTTGGAGAAGTAACTCAAAATTTGCCGGTGAGTGGGCCTTTATCAGGGATCTGCCTTTTGCCATCTCCCTGAAAATCTCAGGAGACTAGGATATGGAGCCTGTATGTAATTAGACTATATCCTAATGCATATCCACAAGGGGGTTAAATTAAGGTTACACATGTAACCTTAATTCTGGCATTTCTTAATTTTTGAGTGCTTGACTTTGGGTGGTGGCTTCTGTTGTTTCCAGCTACCTCACTACACATAAAACTTAACCTTTTTTTAAGGTAATTTTTTTTTGTATGTAATCCCTCAGCTGTTCAGCCCTCTTATTTATTCATTACTTCATCCTCAAACTTCTTACTCCATGGTAACTTCCCTTCAACTCACCACACCAAAAAATTTACATTCTACTAGCATGTACAGACAGAAACCTCAACCACCACATCACCAACTCGACCTCATAAATAGCATTGTGGCAAAAGTGTGAATGAAATGCATACTAAGAGTGATTAATGCAAATGCTTGATATGAAACTCTCCATAGAAAGGCTAGTCATAGGCCCTGTTTACACACAGAAATTACACTGGTTTAATTTAAACCTTGTATTTAAGCTCATTTAGTTAAACCATTACAAATCTCTATGTGCACATTTTTATTTCATTTAGGACTGAATTATTGTAGGTTAGCTAAGTTAGCATTAGCCAGGGTGTTATCTATGTAAGCACGTCCACACAGCCTTTTGCACCAGTTTAACTAAATCCATTTTAAATCACATCTCTAGTTAAACCATGGCAACTTTGCATGTAGACAAGCCCATAGAGGAGCCAGCGACAACAACCACTTCCAGACAGTGACCTAAGGGGATTGTGTGGGTTAAGCACTCTCTTGTCTGAACTGATAGTAGCAGAAGAGCTGGCTTCATTGCGCATTTGGGTATAATCAAGCCTGTGTGAGGAGTTCTCTATAGGAATGTCTACACTACCACTGGGAGTGAGCCTCCCAGCCTGGATAGACAGATACATCAGCTAGTGTACTAAAAATAGCCTGTCTACCCACTCCTAGCTGCAGTTTAGACACACCTGCGTTGCAGAGCAGCTGGACTGGAGAGAGGTGATTGCCTAGGGCCACCTAACTATTCCACATTTAGTGTAGAAAACATGAGTCCAAGGGCTAGTGCTGTTGGCCTAAGGAGGTTTCTCTGGTAAAAAGTGCAGGGAAAAGTCAAGAGATGAGAACAGACTTTGTGGGCACTGAGCAAAGAAGACACAGGGCCAAGGTGGGTCACAGAGATAGGGTTTGACAGAGTCAGGTTTTAGTTGGGCTTTCTGCAAGCAAAGTTGCCAGAGTTCAGTTTTGATGTTGTTTTGGCCACCTCTGTTCAATATAAATAGGACATTTTGTAAATCGGTGAATTACTCTAGAAGATACTCTGGGTCTGTAGCACCAGTTTCTCTCCTGGTGTGGCACTGATCCATCAAAATGTGTCACTGCTCAACAAAAGGGCAGCTAGCTTGTGTTCTCTCTGTGTGTGTACGTATGTATGTGGGGAGGGGGTATGTGTGTGTATATATATATACACACACACATACATACACGCCCCTTCTGAAAAGAACCTAGGTGTTCTGTTTGACCCTGAGCTTTCACACTTGCCAGGTTTATAAATTTGCTCATCACCTCTGAAACACTGTATGGGTAAATAAGGCCCATCTACACTGGGTTTTTTTGCAGCAGTGCAAATTCTAGTGCAGACACTGTACTGGAGGAAAAGAACGTGCACCAGTGTGGCTTACCTCAAGTATTAACAATAAGTAGACAGATCATGAAGTTAGTCCAAATACTTAAAAACACTCTTAAGGTACCCCAGTATCCTGACTAATCTTACATCTTGGCACATTATTGCCTAGAAAGTTATTACTTAGTGTATTGAAGTGCTCAAATAGTCTATGAAGTGGGCTTTCACTTCCTGTAAAAGACTGTTGTGCTTGAAGGTGTTAATCACAGCTAGCATGTGGCTCTTTGATCTATGGACAATCACAGACCTGTTTAAAGCTAAGCACCCCACTCATAGGAGGATCTCTGGAACCCCTTTCTGTGTAGTGAGGTAGCTGGAAACAAAAGAAGCCACCACCCAAAGCAATGGCCCACATGGCAAGGCCAAAGCAGGGCTAAACCATGAAGTGTGAGGCATTTTCCTGGGACTGGTTGCAAATGCATGAGCTAGGTGATTGTTAGGCAAGCTGTGTGTGAGAGAGGAGAAAACCAGCAGAAAGTGAGAGAAACAGTCTTGAGAGTGGCCCTGGGTGGGAAGCAGAGAGAGAAAGCGAGAGCGCGCTCTTTGGGCACAGAACTGACTGGAAATGCAGACCTGGGAATTTATAAGCAAGGAAACCGCCTGTTGCTGTCTGCTTCTACTGTGTTCAGGGAAACAGGCCTTTGTTCACTCTTCTTAAACAAACAGGATTAAACAAAAGAAATACTTGGCTAGTATCAATTTCTCCTCCTAATGGAAACTGTTCAGCCCTAGACCCAGATAATGGGTTACTGCTCGGGTGAAAGGGGCAACAATACATTTATTAGCAAAAACATACAAATTCAGCCCATCATCTTACCTGCAAATCCATGCCGCAGAAAATTTGTAGATCTTTTCTTTAACAAATGAGTGAAAGGTGCAGATTTCATTTTACTGCCTGAGTTAGGGGAAATTTTAACAAATGCCCATGGAAGACAGCATAGCATGAGGAAATACAGGTAAAAAATAAACCAGGGATTCAGCCCCGGTACTTGAAGCCTTTTTGTTGGCAACACTAAAGAGAAAAGTTTGTGGAAAGCCGTGAAGGCAGCTGACAGAGAGTTTTAGTCCAGTCTTCTGTATGGCAAATGAAAGCATTCAGAAAGTCAAAGAGAAGGACGTATTTGTGGGCAATTAAGCAGGCCGACAGAAATCTAGGGCTCACAGTCAGGCAGATCTTTTTTCTTTCCCACCCACTTCCTGCCTGCTGACGTGCTGCCTCCTTCCTTCCCACCCACAGCTGTGAGGAACCAGAGAATGTGACATCACAGCAGACTCCCTGTGTTGTCACACTCCTGGTTTGCCTGGGTAGCAGAAGGCTGGAGCATGATTCAGAAGAGGAATCGAGCAGGGAAAGGCAGACAAGAGAACAGACTCCTCTGTCTTCAGAAGAAAACAAGGAGGCCAGTGTTCTGGAGCCAAACCTTTAATAAGGCGCTCCTTCCAAAACATTCCACCTCTGGCAATGACACAATATGTAGGGGCAGGATTTTATAATTGTACTAGGAGAATGAATGCATAATTTGATTTCATCCTGCCAGCCACCCTTTTTGAACAGCAGAAAGGAATGACCCTCTGGGACACTGGTAGAAATGCATCTGACAGACTGCCGGTGTCTGTACTGATGTTAAGGCAGGGACAGACCAGAACAATCCTTATGACTGATTATGGTCACCCTTTTGTTTTAGGATAAGTTATAAAGTCTACTATGGTTTCCTATATGTATTACAAATTAGGCACTCTAATTAAATATACATTTCTTTGTTTTAAGGTTTAGTAAGTAAGAGACAGGATCTTGTATTGTGTCTATGTTAAGAAGATTAGAGGAAGGCTTAAATTTACAATGTCTTTTGCTCAGTATAAACTGACACTGTTTGTAGTCTCAAAGGTCTCTGTAAAAGACTGTTTGTGTGAATGAGGAATATATGCATCAGGAAAAGACAAGGTGTGAAGGCCATTGTTATAGCCAGATGGTCAAGGAAGAAGGAGTGAAGAGACTTAATGACATCAGAGAACCATCAACACGCATCCATAATGAAGGAAGGGCAGATTGACGACTCTGAGATGGAGGCTGGCACCCCTAAAGACAAGACAATTGATTAAATCGAAACCAGGACAGGATGATCCTCTCCGAGGTGTTTTGGAATGTTAACATCAAAAGATAGACCAATTAAGAAGTAACCGGTCACAAACTGACACGGCAAAATCCATAGACTTCAACAGAGGAAAAAAAGACTATAAGAACAGGGTGCTTGGCCATGGGACTTTGGTTCGTCTTGCCACACTCCAGGAGCATCGGATCACGACCGACAGAGCCCTGCTCCCCTCTGTGACCAATCTGGCTGGCCACTAGGTTGATCCAGACTCTGGACTGGTAACTGTAAACATCAACTGGCAGGACTGTGTGCATGGTGTGTGTATGTGATTGAAAAGCATATGCTAACTGTTGTATTCTCAATAAATGCGGCATGCTGCCTTCTCCCCTATAAAGATCCTGTGTGCTTCTTATGTGATAATCCCTGGGTAAAATACTTTACCCCTTATCTCTCCTCCTCCTTCCCCACCCCCCAAAGCAACAATCCCAAATCCATTAGCTCCCGGCTCTTCCCCTCACTAAAATCTATTAACCTGATGGAGAGAATCCAGAACGACCCTAGCCCTTCTGTCAGCTGGTATCTAGCTAGGTTTCCCCATCATGCTCATCACCATGGTACCTAAGCAGCTTCCAGCCATGGAAGGGGTTCGTAACACCACAGTTGCTGTGGAGGTAGAGCACAGGAGTTGCAGCGAACTCAAAGAACGTCACTGTTTCTCTATCAAACGAATGGAGGACAGTCACTCATTTTGACTGTTTTCCTGCAGACCTGATTTATTTCATCCATACTGTAGAGCTCAGACCGCACAGTGGCTCCCTGAACTCCCTTTTCTCTGCTCCCGTCATGAAGAAGTTCAGCTTTGGGGCAAGGGCCAGTCAATTTATCAGTATGCGGACTGATTTGACCCGACTCCCAGTACGAGCAGGGACCCAGCGTTGGAGACATCGATTGCTGCCTCGTGGCTGAATAGCAGTTTCAGAAGGTCTCCATTGCCTCTGCATCACAAAGGAGGAGACTGCCTCAGCTATCTAACCCCAGGGGAGCACCGTGAGTCAAGCTTGGCTACCTGGATGCATCCCGCTCCACACAAATGTAGCCTAGGTTGTTTTACTTAGTGTTTCTGTTTTATTTACCATATTATTTTTCCCCACCTTATGCAAGAATTTCTCAAATTACAGGTTTCAGAGTAGCAGCCATGTTAGTCTGTATTCGCAAAAAGAAAAGGAGGACTTGTGGCACCTTAGAGACTATGCATCCGATGAAGTGAGCTGTAGCTCACGAAAGCTTATGCTCAAATTACAGGTGCACCTAAACCCATTCTATGTGATATAATTATTGTAAGCATAATTGATTATATTTAAATGATGTACCGTGATACAATACAATATTCTAAATGAACAGAAATCATCCTGAATAATCAGACTGTACAGAAGCTTTTTTCAAGGGGATGGCTCCCTAACGGTCACTTTTTAAAGTTAAATTTTATCCATGTTTGTTTCCAGATAAAATCTGGTTAATTAAATGTTACAAAACTTAAACCAATCTGATAATCTGCAACTGAAAAAGGGAGGAAGATCTGTATGGTTTGTGTTCTGTGCCTTGGGGAATGTAAATCATACACTGTATACACATACGACCATTTCTGTCCATAAGTGATGTGCAGACCAAACCCAAATATATGTTTGTGCTTGTAAATTCTGTCATTTGTGCATATGCATGGGAGTGAGCAAATCATGTGCGTGCAAGTGATTTGTATGGGCAAAGGCCAGCGACTGAAGTTCTCTGGTTAACCACAAAACTGGTGCAACATAAATAGAAGCTGTACAAGCTTCCCCATCAATATGCATCCCCTTTATTTAAAGTAGTAACAGGTTAGTCTGGTCTCCACAGCTGTTGAGTCCTTGGCTTCTCTGCTGAGATTGGCAGCAAGGAGGTTCACTGGGAGGAGTGTATATTGTACTTTGAACACTTGTGCCCCAGGGACTGAACTATAACCATCAGCTCGTTTCTTCACTCCTGTTTGCCTTGTGGTAAAATGGAGTGCGTGTTTAAAGAACCCCCAGGCCGCGTAACATACAAAGCAGCATTGACAGTGACCTCAGCCAGTTCACAAGTCCCCCTGGGAAAACAAAAAGGCCCAGTGCAACAGGGGCCTGAACTCTCCTCGCACTGACGTCAGCTTGCAGGAAGCGCTCTGCACCACGCAGCAAGAGCGCCGCTTATTTAAAAAAAAGCTCATCCTGCTTAATATTTCCTGGACAGAGCTATATCAAGTTCAATGAGAATTGTTTATTGAGCAGCAGTCAGTCCGAAGGTGACTAAGAAATAATACTTGGGACTCACCACTGCTGTGAAATGATGGCTGACATCCCCCACCATCCATCTATATCGAATGCAGAAGTATTACAGGCAGCTCAATAGGCAATAAACCTCGAATGATGGTTGAAATGATGTGTTGGTGTGACATCAAATGGCTGAGGGTTTTGGTAGAGTCCATGCTCTTCAGCTTGTGGGGCTTCCTGCCCTCTCTCTGTACAAGCCGGGTGTCTCTTTACCTAGGGTCTTGGTCTTCTAGGCAGCCACGGCACTTCTGCAAACTCTGCTCTGCTCCAACTCCTTCAAACTGCTCTTTCTCCAACTCCTTCCCCTAGCTGATTGAAGCAGGGGGTTTTTATCAGGTGACTGGTTTCAGGTGCTCTCATTGGCTTCAGGTGCTTTTAATTAATCTATAGCAACCTTTCTTCCCTCTACAGGGAATAAGGCTTCTCTTCATCCTAGGGCTTACATCTCTCTCCTATATCACTCTCCTGCTGCCTTCTGGCCAGGTTGTATCACAGTTTGTACTCACTGAAAAAGTTCAGGGAGCAGCTCTCACAGTCACAGCCCAACCACTGTTATGCTCCCAGATAGGAGAAAGTATCAATCAATTAGGACACTAAGGACCTGGTGGCTCTAGCTGAAGCAATTGTGTACAGCTGAAAACTGCATTATTGTTTCAGAAACAGGACAAACAATCTAGTTAATCACAGCAGTTACTAAAACAGTCAACTCTAATTCCTAATGCATCCGATGAAGTGAGCTGTAGGTCATGAAAGCTTATGCTCAAATAAATTGGTGAGTCTCTAAGGTGCCACAAGTACTCCTTTTCTTTTTCTAATTCCTTTGTGACTACAGCAAAATTAGAGTTGGTCCTGAACTGGGAAATTTGGATGTGTATCCAAACTACCAGCAAGATCAGAAAGTTAATTTGGATCTTGATCCATGCTCCATGTATCCCTCCAAACCGAGATTTGGACCAGGTCTAAAACCATCTTTTCTCCTATTCCTTCCACAGTTCTGCGCAGTACACGGTGTTGTTTTGATTCATACCTGGGTCTGTTTGTAATAAAAGTTAGCTATTTTCAACAGCCACTCATAGGAAAAGGATCAATCACAGGCTTTTAGCATTCTTAAGAACTTTACTCCGTTACGTGATTCACATCAACTTGAAAAACAAAACAGAAAACCAACCTCCTCATGGAGCACTATTCTTTTTATTTTTCTATCAAATACACAAGGTACATTAATATTATTGAACATCCATGTTATCCCTCAGTTTAATCTGGATGTTCAGTTCTACAGCTTCTGAAAAGGGTGTTCAACAACAGAACTTCTTCAATGACCCAAGTGGTAGTGGCACTAAGAATTAGAATCATAGAATCATAGAATATAAGGGTTGGAAGGGACCCCAGAAGGTCATCTAGTCCAACCCCCTGCTCAAAGCAGGACCAATTCCCAGTTAAATCATCCCAGCCAGGGCTTTGTCAAGCCTGACCTTAAAAACCTCTAAGGAAGGAGATTCTACCACCTCCCTAGGTAACGCATTCCAGTGTTTCACCACCCTCTTAGTGAAAAAGTTTTTCCTAATATCCAATCTAAACCTCCCCCACTGCAGCTTGAGACCATTACTCCTCGTTCTGTCATCTGATACCATTGAGAACAGTCTAGAGCCATCCTCTTTGGAACCCCCTTTCAGGTAGTTGAAAGCAGCTATCAAATCCCCCCCTCATTCTTCTCTTCTGCAGGCTAAACAATCCCAGCTCCCTCATAACTCATGTGTTCCAGACCCCTAATCATTTTTGTTGCCCTTCGCTGGACTCTCTCCAATTTATCCACATCCTTCTTGAAGTGTGGGGCCCAAAACTGGACACAGTACTCCAGATGAGGCCTCACCAATGTCGAATAGAGGGGAACGATCACGTCCCTCGATCTGCTCGCTATGCCCCTACTTATACATCCCAAAATGCCATTGGCCTTCTTGGCAACAAGGGCACACTGCTGACTCAAAAAATTAGTTTTGCCTTTTATTTTCTAAAAAGCAGTATAGACACTTTCCTGGTCTTTATTCAGTATTGCCTGTTCTGTTGGTGAACTTTTAGTTGTGGGACAAGCATGCTTGGTCTTCAGAAGAAGATATAGATATATACACACACACACACATACACACAGGAGTAGAAATGCAGAGTTAATTGCAGATTAAATGTAATTTTTTTCTCCACAAAAACAATTGTTTTATCTTCCCACCTCTATACAGTCCCATGATGTTCTTAATTTAGCAATGATTAACTTCCAAAATGCGTAGCCCCAAAACTGAATCGGGGGTGGGGGGAACCATTAGATCAAGCACATATCGAAACTAAAAGTTTGTTTTATTTTAAGGCCAAAGCATTTATGAGATACAAAATGACAAGTATGTATCCACTTCCCAGATATCAGAATGGGCATTGCCAATAGAGCTGGGCAGGAATTGGCTTTTGTGTCCCATGAAAATTGTCATTATTTCAGAGCAAGATCCCAGACTAGCCAATCGCCCAGTCACCTGGGACGTGAGACACCCCAGTTCAAGTCTCAAATCAGGCAGACCATGGACTAGGACCTGGGTCTCTCACATCACAGGTCAGCCCCCTGACAAAGAAGCTATTGGCTGTTATTGCCGTGCTCTCTCTGGTTTTGACCAGGCACTCCGGCCTGGACCGGAGAAACCTCTTTCAACAGACGTTTCCCGAAAACCAGAAGATTCCCTCAAAGTTTTCCAGTTAAACATTTTGTGAAGACTTCCCAACCAGCTCCAATTACAAATTACATTCACCTTGAATTTGCTTTCAACACTTCTTCACTGGTTGCTGACTACACATTTCTGGGCTCTCCTCTGCAACCCTCTCACCAAGCATTTTCTGACCCCAGTCCCACCACTCAGGCTCCCTGTTTATTTCAGGTCCCTTTGGTACCCTCATAATCAGCCACTCTCATGCCCAATTCCAGAGGCCGATGACCCCACCCAGAAGAGGCCTCTCTAGAGAGAGGCAGCAGGCTTCTCATCTGAACTCCAGGGTCAGGAGGCATCAGCACTCAAGCAGTGATTGGGGTGTCAGGTGAGCCAGGAGAGCAGAGCAGCACCTTCAGGGTCACACAGAAACTTGAGTAGTTGCAGAATCCTCAGCGCTGAGGAAGCTGCCTCAACACCCACCATCAAGACTGAACAAGTGTGTCCTTTTCTCAGCTGTCCCCGCGCACTAACAAGCCATTCTGTCCTAGATCAGAGGCTGGTGTTCCAGCTCTGTGCTGGTAGCAGAATACAAAATTCCTGCCTCTCCACCAGCCCCTTTAAATTTCCCTCCCCGCCAAGTCCATGCTCAACACAGCCACCCCAACTCCCATCCCTACAACCACTCAACTTCACCTCACCTCCATGTTCCCCCAACCTCCTCTTTGGCCCTCCAAGTCCCCCCCTTCATTGCCATGCTCCCCAGTCCCTTGTGCTCCTCTGTTCAACCACATATTTTCCCCACAGTACTGATAAGACTGTAAACTTATGAATGACATGCATGTTTGGGGGTAGCAGACGTTTCTTCCGGCTATCTACAGTCACATCCCTGCAAGCTGCTCCCAAGCATTTGGAAAAGTGCTTAGTAAAAGTCTAACAATGGCTTAAATCTAAATATTCATAAAATGCTCAGGAAATGCATGTCACAAATGTATGAAACATGAACTTCAGTTACTTGGACAAAATATAAATTGAGAGAAATTCTAACGGTGGCTGAGAAATGTTTAATAATTGCATCAAAATCCCTTAAACAAACAAAGAGCAAGGTGGCCAGTTTCCAAGTTCATGTTTGTTTGGCTAAGTTGGGGAAGAAGAACATTTCCACTTCTCTTCAGGATCCCATCTCTATCCTTCCTGTGTTTTCTATATATACCCCTGTGGTAACAAGCACCGAGTTAAGCCCTCCTATGCCCACCTTAGGTCCACCTCCAATCCTGCAAACAGACAGGACTAACTTTACTCATGCAAGTAGTCCAATTTGAGTTAATACATGGACTCCCATAAGTTAAACATGAAACAGATTGGGGCCTTTATGTAGGGTTTTGTATACTGTTTCTTTTTGAGTACCTCACACCCACCCCACCCCCAATTAAAAAGAAGATGGAAAGGCACTTCTCAGCAACAAAATCTACTTGGAGTTGGTAGGACAAGCCATTTCTGAAGCTAGGACAAGTCAGAAAGGAAAAATATTAAAGTGAACTTCAGGCACAAATTTAATAACACTAACTTTAATTTTTTTTTCATTTTTACTATACTTCCTAAAAAAGCTTCCCTAGGATTAGATACATCCTGTGAAACTTCAGAAATATTGGTTTGTTTTGGGGGTGTCTAAGGGAAGTTAAAAATTGGACCTATATTATGAAGTTAGCTCCAACCTTTGATAATTAAATAATCACTCACATTTCCCTGCCCTATCCCAGACAGATTGTGCAAATCAGTACTGATGTTCTTGGTATGAAAGATAACCCAACTCATTTAGGTTATGATGGACGTACCAAGTAGGCCCCCTTGTTTTTTATCTTGTGTCCTTGTCTCAAAATGGCAAGTTGAGAATGCTTAAAATTGGCTTTCCTATGCTGAAGACCATTCTAATCCAAAACAGGCCACACTCCTACTTCTCACTCACTGAACTGACCAATGTTCTGTGAATCCAAACCCTCCATCCCTACATTCTTTCTTTCTCTCCACCCACCAACTCATCTAACACAATTCTTATTCTTCCTTGTCTTTTACCTGGACTATAGGAATCCTAAGAATATTACATGTGAAGATAGTTTTGCTTCCCTTAAATTTTATTTGATTTCTTCCATCATTTTGTCCAGCTTGTATTCGTTCATGTGGGCACATACTGTGTAGATTCCACCCTGAAGCTGATGAAATTATCAATTCTAATCTTGGCTCCTGGAAGTCAGATCACTAACTGCTCCTGTCCATTCTTCTTGCAGCTGAATCATAAAGTAGAATTACATCTTTTCCTTTTCTATTCTGGTTACCTATTTTCCCAATAAGTCTGTAAGACCATTCTTCTTCCTTAAATACCCACACTTCATCTCTTTTCTCCCTGTTCTTCATCTAGTGGATCAAGAATTAGGGAGCTGCCGTTTATATAATCATGACATATCATATTATCTTTTTCCCAGTTTTGTGCTGTCCTCTCTTTCCATTTCTCCTACTTTCTTGTGATACCAAGGTTTTATTTTGCTGTCAATATAAACACCATGCAAAGGTATTTTTTCAGGATAGCAGACTGAATTATATAAAGATAGCTGAAATTATATTTTATGAAAATGTATATCAATAAAGGCAGTAAGAAAGCTAAAAAGTTTTCCTTCATATTAAAATCATACATCACGCACTAGATAAAATTTAACTTTTCACAGTGAAGGGGAAAAAAATCATTGTTTAATTACAACAAAGTGATATAAAAATTGTAGTAGTCAGTATCAGGACATTATCTGTGACCTAGACCAGTGGTTCCCAAACTTGTTCCGCTGCTTGTGCAGGGAAAGCCCCTGGCGGGCCGGGCCGGTTTGTTTACCTGCCGCGTCCGCAGGTTTGGCCGATCGCAGCTCCCAGTGCCCGCGGTTCGCTGCTCCAGGCCAATGGGAGCTTCTGGAAGCAGTGGCCAGTACATCCCTCAGCCCACGCCACTTCCAGCAGCCCCCATTGGCCTGGAGCAGCGAACAGGCCTGGCCCGCCAGGGGGCTTTCCCTGCACAAGTGGCGGAACAAGTTTGGGAACCACTGCCCTAGACTATGGTTGAATTTCTCCACAATTACTGTAAATGGATACCCTGGATTCCTTAAATGATTGGCATAAAGAAGGTTTATACAAAGGCAGTCAGTTGTTTAATTTTTAAGATGTCATGACATGGTGAAACAAACAAGCACATACATCATTTTAAGTACACAGTAATGTTATGCTACATTTTTGAACAGTTTAGAACTGAAAGTGCTTCACATCTATAGGATAAGAAATGGCTTCACCTCCTCATCCTTAAATAATGAGAGCAAAGAAATAACCCCTTAATAAGTTAAATAAACAGTGCCCCATTTATCCATGCGTATATAAAGTTCCCAACAATTCAGAAGGTCACACTGTGAAATTTACAATCTTTATACAGTATAACAAATTTTAGAAAAAAAAATGTTATCTAGACATATCTTGGTTCCCAAAACCCTGATTTTGCTCTCTGTTGTAGAGCGAAGGACAAAAAGCAACATACTGTATTAGCCTTTTGTTGTTTTTTAATACCAATTTCCTCATCCCAATTCATTTTGAACAACCAGCATTAAATCATGATCATATTAACTGCTTAATTCTAATATCAAAGGCATATTCAGTAAGATACCAGTATGGGGGTACTGTCAAAGTAAAAATCATCATTAGATCTCACATGTACTGTCAGCAAATTCACACAGCAATGCTTCTCTTTACAATACAATGTAAAATAAGATCATGTTATGATGGAAGTTGTTCCTGAGTTAAAATTTGCTAAATACTGCTAGATTAAATGTTTTCCTTTTATGTTTTTCCTCTGGAATGTCTTTTCACCAGCACTCAACAGAAAATTAAAATTCACACTAAAATAAAGGCTGAGTAAATCACTTGTAAAGTTCAGGCATTGAAATCCAACGTCAGCATACCTGAACAAAACTCAAATCGCATTGCCATTCCCAAATCTAAATTCAGGAAAAACATGATATATTTGTGATGTTTAGCATCACTTAGCTTACTCTTTTTAAAAGTAATGATATAAATTCTGCTAAACAAAAGGGCAATCAAATTTATCAGCCCTATATTTTGGTTTGAATTCAGCAACAGAAAATCATTTCAAGATAAGACACTGTAATTAGTAATGAGTCTTTGCGAAGATATCTGAAAATCTCTAACACACCTGAATGCTTTAACTTTTTCTCAGTCTGTTCCTTTAAGAATATGGGACCAATTTTCAAATGTGAGCACATGGAATTAAGTGCCTAAAATATATTTAGATGTGTAAAATGGTCATTTGGGGTCTATGTGTCCATTTAGATCCCTAACATTAGGTTCCCAAGCTATTAATTTAATCCCCTGTATTGTTAAGTGATGATATTTTTATCTTTCTATTGTTAAAAGAATCTCCATCCATTTTTTTCAGCCAAGCAATTTGAACATTCACTTTTCACCAGAGATTAATTGAAAACTTTATATGAAAAATCAAGTCTGTAGTAAAAATGGACTTTTCAGAGCAAACTCTAACAGTCACCTTGATAAAATAACAGTGCATGAGCCCTATGAAAAATTGAGAGGAATCGCATCCATTCTACTTTTAAAATGGTTTATCAGATAAAAATATTAATGAGTAATAAACGTAACAAGAAACAATCTATTTACCTTCATTTGGGCTCTGCTTCAAGAAAGCCTTTAAGCGTGTACTTCAGTTTGAAGTCAATGGGACTTAAGTTCAAGCTTAAAGTTCAGCAGATGCTTAAGTGCTTTGCTGAATCAGGGCTACAGTAAGTACCACTGAAGTCAATGGAACAACTTGAGTAAAGGTTAAGACCTTTTTATAACATTGATAAAGCCAGTGCTTGAACTTGATATACAGGTGGTTATGCTATACCTCCATTTCTGGCTGCTGTCAGGTGAAAAAAAAAAGAACAGAAGAGTTGGAACACACCACTTGAGTGGACGATACACCTCTCCCCTCTAATTTGATGACTAAAGCAGAGCAGAAATTTGTGTCTCCTGGTGCTTGATCCAAAGCTTATTGAAGTCAATGGGAGTCTTTCTATTAACTTCAGTGAGCTTTGAATAAGATCCTTAAAGAGGGCACCAGCTGCAGTTCTGTAGTGTCCCTATTCTAAATCTATGAAGACACTGTAGTTATTGCAGTTATAAAACCTACATGGGCTGAATTTTTTAATGGTGCCCACTGTATGCATTGCCGACCTTCCAATCTGCCAGAGCTGCAAATTACAAAACACACTTTAGTATAACAGATGCCGCAAAAAGGCCAATTGTAAATACAAACCTTATTTCTAAATTTGCTTTTGTTTATTCATGCTGCGATGGAAACAACATTGTTTTACATGTGATAAGAGAAGGGGATGTGGACAGAGACTATTCTTATACTGAGGGTGTTCTGAATAAAAATATCCTGCCTACTAAAGGCAGAGCAGAATTCTGTCATTAGGCTGGCCTAACCTGAGTGGCCTACTCATAACTAGATTTTGAGTTTGTTTGATTATCGTGACCATAAAATAAATATTTTTATTCACAAAATTGAGATTAGGATTTTTTTTTAAAATGATCAGCCAGTGTATGTTAAAGTACATGCACAACAACAGAAAATGTAGTACACAAACACCTAAAAATCAGTCATAAAAAAGCAAGCAAGCACATCAGTCTTTAATTGGCCAAAACAGTGTTGTATATTAGTGCTCCAAACAAGTGTAAATAAATATGCCATGGGGCCATTAGAATGAAACAAAAAAATGGTGTCAATCCACAATTTATTGTATCTTTTTTGATTTAATATTGAAAAAGCATTTAAAACTGTGTTTAAATGTTTGCACAGACATAAATAATGTTAATTAGATGATTTAAATACATTGTCAATAAGAAAAAATAGGTTTTGTAGATTTGTGCATGTGATATGAGTAGGGTAATTTGAAACAAACCTACAAATGATCCAAACACAGCATCAAAGAACTCTGATCTTTCTGAGGTGAGAGTGTACTGTTATTTCTAAAACTTGTGACAATTATAATAATGGGAAAAAAGTACAGTATAACGTTGTATCAGCCCTGATACATCAATTACATAGGCATTCAAAATTACAGATATTTACAAGAAAATATATATATATTTAATTAAAAAGCCACTGAAAAACATGGACTTTTAGTCAGCTGCTGCACATTCTGCAAAATGAGGTAATTTAGATGAAAACAAATTAGGTTTTGTAAAGTTCAGGATCCATGGTCTCCACACTTATAGATTGCTTCCATTGAAAGGTTTGACTTGTTTGTATACGTTACAAGCAAGAAAATCACTAGATCCAGTTAAATTCTGCTTTGTAGTGCTCTTGATGCAACACTGACTAGTCAGAAGGCTTCCCAGTTTGATTTGACAACTGGTCTTTCAATAGAAAGAAACAAACAATGGTAAATTAGTTATAAATTGGTTTCATCCCAAGAAGGATCATTCATATTCTTTAACACTTTCCTAACAAGCTTTTCCAGGTCCTTGCGAGCTCTTTGCTCTTCTTCTAAAGATTTCTTCATCTTTTTGTTATCCTGTTAAACAGAGGACAGATAGTTTATGGTAACTTTTTTCAACAGCAAACTGATCTTTCCTCACCAAAATGCGTGCTGCTAACTGAAGGGCAGTGAGGGCTCTTTTAAATAAACGTCTATTTCAGATTTTGCTGTCTGATGCAGCTATTTTGTGTTATACTTATTCAATATTCAAATGTTACTTACACAATTACTTGGTACAGTGAAGCAGAAATGCCTAATGGAAACTAAAATGCTTCTCTCTCATATACATAGTTGTTATTGGAAACAAGCCACAAATGGAAAACAGTTTTAAAGTCTCTTGTGAGAGTTTACGCACATAAATAACTACTATGGAAAATATTTGTAATAACACAGAAAGAGAATGAAATAAAAAGATTAGAATGAAAAACCTTATAAGAACCACTTATACCTTCTGGTATTTCAAAGTTCTTGACACTGAACTCTACACACTGAAATAAGTTTCACAAACCTAAAACACTACTCTAGAGCTCACACAAGCTTTATTTTGCTTTATTGAGAAATCTAAATTGCTTTATTGGTCAGGACACTGATATTAACTATCATTCTTTCTGACACATGCTCTGTGACTTCACTTTCAGCTAGACAACCACCAGTCAAACAAAGAGGCCTGAGGTATTACCTAAAAGACAGCTCCTCTAATTCCAGTTTCATCACTTGATTGTGAGTCCAAGTCCCAACATTTTGCCCTGTGTTTGAAACTTCAGCCCACAACCTTTGGGGCCGTAAGTAAGGGTGCTACCAACTGAACGCTACTAATGCTTACATTATACAATCCAGTGGAGACTGAGGTGATATTGGTAGGGGCTGGGGGAAGCAACCAGAGGATACAACATGGATTACATTAAAGCCCCCAACACTGAGGGTGTGTGCCTGCTGTTTGTCATTCAGATTTGTAATCTGGACATCTCACTAGACTCTCAGCATCTATCAGATGATTATATAGTGGCAGTAAGCAGTAACTGCTTCTCCACCTCCCTCCCCCCTTCTGCATCAGGTTGGGAGTGAAATCTTTTCTCTCAGACACAGACCACACTTCTATCTTTTGTCACTTCAAGACTGGACTAAAGTAGTATGCTCTGCTTGGTGCTATGGTCTGAAATAGCTTAGAAACCGAAGGTGGTAAGGAGGGTGGCACTCACTTCTTAAGTGGTGTGCCTCACCATGAGGACATGAAACCAGTGGTCTGGAATCCACATTGGCTGCCTGTGGGTTTCCAGATGAAGTTTAAATTCTTGATTCCTACCTATAAAGCCCTACGTTGCCTGGGACTTGCCTCGCTTAGAGATAACCCCACTTCCTATGTGACACTGCCTCAGTAGGGGCCTTCAAGATGGCGCCCCCAAGGTGTGTGAGAGAGGAAAACATTAGCAGGGTGTTCTCCATGTGGGCCCCTGGACTTTGGAATTCACTCTCCCCATTAGTCAGAAATCGTCCAATGGTTAACAATCCTGGCCCATCTGAAAAGTCCATCTATTTGGAGAGGCCTGGGGTGCAGCGGTAATGTTTGGATCAGGTGAGGATGCAGATATTTATCTCGGGGCATTGAGAGTTCTGCAGGAGTTAATGTGAGGCATTTTTGTTTTGCGGACTGGCTGCTTTGGTGCAAAGAAATGCTGCTAGTTTACTTTTGCTGCTTTTGTCTTAACTGAATTGTGTTTGTAATGGTCCATCAAAGGTACCTAGAGCCTGGGATAGGCATTCTTTATATGTTGAAATCAATACAAAACCCCCCATACATTTTATTTTACGCAGCAATTGTGATATTTATGGGGACATATGGATTGTGACTATTTCATTGGTTCTGGAACAAAAATTTTGAGAGAGAGAGAGAATATGGATTCATATTTATATGTATATAATTGGATCGGCTGGGTGTTTTGTGGTACAACGGAAGGGAGATTTCATCTAATAGTCTCTAGCTCTGGAAGCGAAGATCACTTAACTACTTTACATATAGGGAAAAGGGACTAATTTAATGGCTTTTTTACCCACCCGCACATTCAGGAATGCAGATGTGCAGCAGCAGAGAACAACAGTTGGGACTTTGCAAATCGAACTGATTCTGTGTGTTGGTTGCATTTTTAACATCTCCAGCGACAATGTGTCTGACTAGGAGACCAGATAAATTGCACCGGGCCCTCCTAGCAAACGGCAGCGGAAGGCAACTATGGATTTAAGTAAGTTCCAAGGTCTGGCGTAGACAGTTCTATCCATTACAGTCTAGCAAAGATAGAGTGACAGTCTTTGATTCTTGAGAATGACCAGAAATTGATAAGCATATTCTTGCAATACTTTTATTATACATCTAGTTTCCTTTAGGCAGGCACAGCCAATCAAGATTTTTTAAGAACCTAGAGATTCTATGCTTACCCCAAACAATAAAAGACCTTGTGACCCTGAAAGTGTGGGCTGACTCGTAAGTTACAGAGAGGAGGATTGGAACAGCCCAAAGACCACGGCAGGTACACAACAGATACAAATACGTCTACATGAACATTTTTTCCAGTAATACAATCAAGATCATTCTAACCTGGGTTATCTGCTATATAAGGAACGTGTACACAATTAAAAGCCTTGTTTTAGCAAAGGACTAAAGCAAGTGAGTGGTCTGACAGTGGGACTATTCACTTGCTTACGCTATGGGTATTATTTAGTACTCATACTGTGGTAGCAGGTTGGGTCCCCAATCACAGATCAGGGCCTCACCGAGTCTGAACAGACTTTATTCTGTACCAAAGAACTCTTTTCCCTGTTCTTATGAAGTTTCTATATGCCTTCTTACCTGTAGGTGAAGCTCTGAAAATATGGACCCGCACTGAAAGAAAGCAGTTACAAGTATACCTGGGTGAAATCTTATGTCCGAAAATTTCTTTTTTTTTTTAATTTTTTTTTTTTGGCCAAAAAAATTTGCAGAATCAGATCAATCAAAACATTTTGCGAATTTGTGTTCCATTTGCCAAATTTTGGGGGGAGAAACCTTCCCCAAAAATTCTGGGGGGGGGGAAGGAGGTGGAATTTTTCCTTTTGACATTTACTAAATGAAACATTTTTATTCTAAATTATTTTTTGTTTAGAAATTTACATCAATTTATTTTTAAAAGTTTTTAAAGCTCAATAAAGAAACCAAACATTTTGTTTCAGGTCAAACTAAGTATTTTGTTTAACCTGAAATTTTTTCAACTGTTTGGATCACTGAAAATTTTGAAAAATTTTAGTTTTGGGTTGACCCAAAGCTAATTTTAATTTTCTTTTCATTTTTTTGAATGGCCAACAGACAAACAAACAAAAATCAGTTATTTAGACAGCTCTAGTTGCAAGTTCCATGCTAGTTTCTCAAGGGGAATTCTGCAAGATGTCTCACCTAGGTGATAAAATAATATCTGAGCTAACTTGTGGCATGAATGATTTTTGAATTGCGGCCACATGACAATAAGTGAGGGAAAGGAAATGAAAATGGCTCTTCATCTCCTGAAATGAGAAAATATAAGAATTGATCAAAAGGAGGTGCTCAAGTACCTGGGGGGGAGGGGAGAGGAAGGGGGGAACTGGAGAAGGGATTAAGGCCTAAATAGAATCAGACATATTTAAACCACTGAGGTCATTATAGTCTGAGTCCCAGTATCTTTGGCTTTTTCTATTTTTCAGCTGATATGGTAAACTTTTATAGTATTTTAAATTTCTGCCCAACATGTCACAATTTAGTGCAGTTTGAAAACAGGACACGTTTCACTTAGTCAACTCATGGAGATAATATACTTAACTCCTTTCTCCTGGGTTTATGTTTTTGTTTTGTATTATCTGCCCTCAGTTTCTAAGCTCCTTTTTTTTTTTTATTCAACTGGGATAGACCTCCTTTTTTGGACAAAAAGCTGAAGATTCTGAATCTAGTCCTAACCCTGCTACTGAAAAAAACATAACCCTATTAACTTTAATAATTATTTGCTACAACTGCACAATCTGCACACTCCCCCACCATCCACAAGTGTTGATAAAATACAGTATGCATTATTTACCAACCTGTCTTAATTCCTGTACTTCATCCTTTAATGCATATACTGTGTCAACAAGGCTTCTAAAACAGAAGATTAAGATCCATTACTATTGTTTCATAAAGTGTAAATGAATTAACAGATTTATATATTATTACAAGGCATCAAGTACCACAAAATAAAATCCAACACATGAAAAATGAAAAATCATTAAGCAAAAGAGCCTGCTAGCGCCTATAGCTTCCCCGACCCTTTGCGTAATGTTATACATTCTTATTAAGACATAACCAGCCAGTCAACTCCTTAGAAAAAGGACCGATCATCATATTTGTAACATCTAGCATAACTGGGGACACTTTATTTGTCTCTAAAACACCATGCATGCCTAGTAAATTAAGTTATATACACTGTAAAATAAATACTAAATACACAGTTAAAAAGAAGCGTGCAAGTTGACGCTAAAGGAAAGACTACATCATTCAGCAACAAAATTGATCGATTTTCAGCTGGTAGGTACGCTCTGAATAACCAGCGAAAAAACCTCCACTATATCACAACTGCTATTAAATCTACTGTTACAGAATAAACTGAAAAACAACTTCACAAGCCAAGTCTATCAACAAATTACTTTTGTGCAAGTGTGAAATTTACTGTTTTAAATGTAGACATTTTCTTACTTTTCTTCGATCACAGTCTGACCATTACTTTTTGTTTCTTCTACAATAATTTTCTCTTCCTCTGGAAGCAGCACTTGGGGAGCAGACTCTTTACGGGAACCTATTACAAAAAAAAAAATCACAAAATGAATTGCATGCACACAACACCAGAGCACTTTCAAGAGATTATTGTTTCATTTCTATAATGCATGACACACTTTTATGAACCAAGTATTTGCTTTAAATTGTTTTTCTCATGAACACACAGCTATTGACTTATATCCTTTACTTCTTTAACAATGTTTTTCTGTAGACTCTGGAATTTTTTTAAAAAAAATCTGACCCATTTTTTCCCTTTTTGTTGTTGGTGGAATTCCCCGGTGTTGTCAGTGGTGATGCTGTCCAGAGATCAAGGCATAGTAAAATATCTGTCTCTTTAAATTTGTAAGAGTCATGTGGATTCACCACAGTGAGGTAAATGAGAGTTTTGTGTGCGTATATAAACAAATTGCAGTCAAGCCTTTAGGGCTAATTCTGAACTTATTTACACCAGTATAAATCAAGAGTCACTCCAGCAAAGTCAATAGCTACACCAGTGAGAAGCAGTAAACGTGAGATCAAATGCTGAAATTGCAGTTTCAGGGCACAAATGAAATCAGTCACATAGGAGTGGGAGTAGCAAATAAATAAATAAAAAATTGATTTTTTTTTTCCCAGAAAGCAGGCTATTCTTTATACATCTGAGAAGTTTATAAATGATGCTATTTGTATATACATAAATAAAGATGGTGCTTTTTTACTCATATAAAATTGCCACATTACATTATTAAAATCATTATACAAAGTACACAGTTAAAAAAATATAAAAACCATAAACTATAAGGGAAAAAATGATTTCACAACAATCTCAAAACACATCTCCTTCAGCACCATTTTACAATGTACATTTTTATTATCACTCCAAGATGATGTCTCTCTAAGATAATTAGTGTAAATTGTGAAACAGGTGGCTCTGAACAGATACTGCACTGCTTTGAAGGCATGTGTCTTTCATGAAGCAAACTGTTCTAGAAATGATAGTTAATTAGGCTGCAACAAATTACTAGCATTTTTCAAAAAGGTTTGTAAATAAAATGCTTCCTAAGCATTTGTTTAGGATTACATATTTAGTTAAATAAAGCTGATAAAGCTTTGGAGCTGTTGTATATTTACCCAAAATGTCAACTTTGAAATTATAGACAATACCCACTCATTATCATGGTCTTCCTCTAACCAGGAATGTATTAATTTTAGCATGATTTCAATTTACACCCAATAAATGCGTATTGTGGGGAGCATTTCTGTTCGTGGAAATTTGTTCATTCTTGATGACCAGCTGCTTCATTATAATATTGCCTTTGCTTCACAGATGGTAACAAAATGCTATAATCTCTGAACACAGGGAAAATCATGTTGAAGAACGTGAGCCCAATGAAAGACATGAACTATCAAACCACTGCAGTCATACGTTCCGAGAACAGATAAGCCAACAGGAGAAAAATAAACCCCTGCTTACTGATACAGAAAAGCTCAAACTACTTTTCAGTACATGAGGGCAATCAGTTAAATCAGTGGGAACAGTCCTTCGGTAGGCCCTGAAGATCTAACGGTAGATTCACATCGCTATACAATAACGATCATGAGAAAAGGATCTGAGAGCAGAATCTGGTCCTAAACAACCATAAATCTTATATAATAAAAAAGGGTCAAATACTGTTTTAAAATTAACTCACGCTGTTATATAATGTGAAAAATCATAATTTTGCAAGGAAGGAGTGACTAGAAACATAGGCACAGCAGAGCTCTGCATATGTGTTGAAAGAAATTTCTCTATTGGCACTGTCCATCATAATTTTGACTGATGCAAAAATTATTGTCTTGTGCTTATTAATGACTAATAAGCTGGGGAACTGCTTGAGGTAGGCCAGGCTAATTGTGACATGTCAGGCTATTGTGGAGCAATGAGATAAAATTATTTTAAGAGGCTAGCACGGGCCGGTTTGTTTACCTGCAGCGTCCGCAGGTTTGGCCGATCGCAGCTCCCACTGGCCGCGGGAAGCGGCATGGGCCGAGGGATGTGCTGGCCACTGCTTCCCGCAGCCCCCATTGGCCTGGAATGGCAAACCGCAGCCAGTGGGAGCTGCAATCGGCCAAACCTGCGGATACTGCAGGTAAACAAACTGTCCCGGCCCGCCAGTGGATTTCCCTGACAGGCTGCGTGCCAAAGGTTGCTGATCCCTGGGCTAGACTAATGATCTAGCAACATCGGAGTTTGGGTCCGAGACTCAGTTTTGAGCACCCCAAGGGAGCAGGGGCAGAGGGTGGTCTTTACTTGGGAAAGAGGAATGTCTTGTATTTCTCTCCAGTGACTCCCTTTACCTAATTGAAGAAATGAAGCATTTCTCTCTAGATAGAGCTGCATCCAAGTCTCTGTGCTGGAAATAAGGACACAGTGATATCGGGCCTTTGGAGGGGTGGGGATGGCACGGGGAGAAAGATAGTTAAACCCAGAAAATGTTACAAATGTAAAGCTATTTCACAAATACCATATCTAATCTATGTATAATCTACACACACACACGATATATTAATCATATATAACCATATCTGCATATATATGTGTATACGTATATTAAAATTGAAACAGACCGCACAGAAAATATCTTGTGATACTGGGGTGTAGAAAGCTGAAGTAAAATTTAATCACATTTTATAAAAAAGAAAATGTTCACATGAATAAACACTGTACGCACGCGCGCATACCAGTTATGAGAAAGATAAACTATGTCACTGGTCTTTTGTGGGCCAGAGTGTATAATAATGATGAAGTCAGAACATCGAGAGCTTCATTGTCATTCTTATTGCATTGACAAGCTTCCTAATGTTGTAATTGTTTTTTTTTATTGTTGCCACCATACGACTCTCACTGCTCTGTCCTCAGATAGATGTGTTTATCTTGTTCCTATGAAAAAAAGTAATTTTGTATTTCAGCCTGTCATATTCTATTTCCACTTCACAAACACCTGCTGATAGAATATTAACAGAGGTACCAGGAAACATATAGCATTTTTCAGCCTGTAGTAAAAACATCCTAGTGGAGCAACTTATACAGTACTTGCAGAAAGTACAGATTTGATGCGATAACGGACAACAGAAAAATGCAAATCTCTATTAAACTGTTTTATTGCTCTGATGATTCTTTTCTATACCATCTTTGTTATTTTAAAAGAGAAACCATATTGACTTTGCTATATTTACTTGTAAATTTGCATTTGAAATAAGTTTTCATCTCAACCAGAAAATCTAACTTTGCTAATGGAAAGTGTGTGGCTAAATCTCCTGAAGGGCTTTGAAAATCTCAAAGGCCAAGAGTGAATAAATCCTCAGCCCTCTCCAGTCCCTTTATGCAGAAGACAGCCACAAGACTGTTTTCAGATGACCTCCTTGCAAGCTACGGCATAGGGGGCATGCCTATGGAGTGAGGCTGGGGACAGAAGGGGTGTGTTGGGTGAGGCTGGGCTGAAGCATGCAGTATTGTAGAGACTGCAGCGGTGCTGCACCTATATAGCAGACTCAGAAGGCCTGTTCAAATTACACCAAGGGTCTCTCCAGCTCCCAGAGAAATGAAGAAAGGATCAAAAGGGTGCAAATGTGGCTTAAAACTACCCCCTGTGCTGCACCTCTTAGAGGCACAACAAAGAATCTCATCCCAAGTCTTTTAAACTTTAAGGACAGAATCTACAATAGCAGTAACCTGTTATTTTCATTCTTTAAAACATAGTAATAACTGGGACCTTCCCACAATGGCCTGCTGACCTGAGATGAGATTAGTGATATTCCTAAAAGGACAGTAGTTTCATAGTCAGGTATACATTCAGACAAAGATCTACAACATAGCCAGGCCTACACTATTTTGGTTCTTAAAGCTCCAAAATACCAATTTAAATAAAGAAAAATCAATCCAAACATTATTTGGCAGCATTGCAAAAGTGCAAGAAACTTGTAATATTACTCCTGGGGGAATTTCTGCACCACGGCACATGCACAGAATTCATGTCCCCCTCAGATTTCTTTGCTTCCCCGCAGAAAAATGAGTTTCTGACAGGGAAACAAAGGGAAGCTGCTAGAGTAGTCACACACCACTCCCTAGCTGTGCAGGTACATCATTTCAGGCACTCAGACCGCCGGCAGAGAGGTAAATGACTGCAGGGTTAGGGACACCCCAGCCAGTGGCTCCTACCCTAGGCTGGGATCAGCTGCTAGTTCCGGCTGGGCTGGAGGCAGGAGAGGATGGGACTTTCTCTTCCCCTGCAAGGAGTAACTGGGGCTGTGTCAGACCCACACCCAAGAAACCTCCCCCAGTTGCAGGAAGCTCAGCATCCTCCCCTGCTTCCTGCCCCCAATACTCCTCAACTGTGGGGGAAGGGGTCACTGTATGGGGAGCTGATTCCCCCATCCGCCCAACCCCCATGCATGCGGACGTCCCATACCCAGACACTCCCACCAAGCCTAATCCTGTATACCCAGAACCCCCTAGCCCTCCATACCCGAACCCTACCCCATTGAACCTCAACCCCTGCACCTGGAGCCGCCTGCAGCCAGACCATCTCCCACTGAGCTCCCTTCACTCAACCCCCCACCCTGACTTGCCCCACCCCTCTGCACCACCCTGAGCCTCCACATCCAGACCCCCACGCCACTGACCCCCAATTAGCTGTGCCCAGACCCCGACCCCACCAAGCTCCACTCCCCCAGCACCCAGACCCCCCCCGCTGAGACCTCCACACCCAGACCCCTCCGCTGAGCGCCAAAACACTTTCACCTGGAAGCCCCTGCACAGTCCCATTGCCCTTGCACTTGGAACCTTCCCTGCAACGAGCCTCCAGATCCCCCTACACTTAGATCCCCCACTGAGCTGCCTGCACCCAGATTGTCCCACACAGAATCCTCTCACACCACACCTGGATTCCCCCCACACTGAGCCCCTCCACACTTGGATCCTGCCTGGTTGAGCCTGCCTGCCCACACCTGGTGTGCTTGGCCCTCTGCGCCAAGGCCCCAGGGTATTTCTGCGGCAGGCCC